TTCGATGGGCGTTTAAGTTTATAATATTGATTGCGTAATGAAATAGTAATAAACAGTCGCGAGTTTAACGTAATAAATTGTGAAAAGGGAAAAAGGAAATCTCTGGCGTAGTCATCAGAAAACCAGACCCGGTGTCAGATACTTTTTGTCATATTGAAATAGTTCTCGAATGTCCGTGCTTCCAATGAAAGCAGTATTTGCATGTCCCTCATGCATATTTAAATTTTATTCATTACGATACTAATTAAATTTTAATTGCTCGCGATCCCGCCGATAGGAAACCCTTCTGTGCTCTTTCCTCTTTTTCGTGACATGCCGTATTGTTAATTATCGATGCACAATCTCTTGGACAGTGTAAAATTAACGCGAGCGGAATGATCAATTTTACTTTGCCGAGTCGTGACGATCATTTTCATCGTAATATTTCATGCAACATACCAATTAGTATTATAATTAACACATCAACATTCTATTTTTCGCGAATTTTATATTGCCACGATTTAATGTTTCCATTAATTGAACACATTTAATACACTTAAAGTGCACCTAATTAAACATGTTCGCTATATTCGAATTCCAATATACTGAATATATTCGAATAAATTTTATTTGCATGAACTATCAGACAATCAAAATCATTTCATAATCATTTTGTTGGTTTAACATTCAGCCTCAGAACGCTCGAGAAGAAAGTCCACTAAAACATACAATAATGCATTTTCAGAGAGGTTTGGCCGGAGAACGATTGCTTCGGAAGGGCGGACATTACATCGGAGGAAGAGTTCCTGGCGCTGCGAGAAATCTTCTTCGCTGATCTGGGCGGTGAGTACCTTTTAACTTACTGGCGTGGAACGAGCATTTTACGAATCAAAGGTAATTCGCATAGGGAACGCGAGCCCCGTCCTTTTTCCACGTTAAATCTCCGAATAATTTGTGGCGCATCGCATTACGCGCCCATTTCCTTAAACACTGAACGGTTTTAGTCACGGCAAATCGGCGGTCCAAAAGGATCCGTAATCCCCTGGTTAACGCGGCGGCCGTCTCGAAGATCGTTTAAATTATATTCTGGAAAATATCGTGGTAACGAGATTCTCGGAAACGAGACGACATATATTTGCAATCTCCGGTAGGCAGCCCGAGATAAAGTTAAAACTTCCTACTTTCAAAGCACTGGTCGTTACTACTTTTTCCCGCTTCTCGTTCTCGCCGCCTAACCATCTCCTTCCCCGTCCCCGCCCATGGGGATTGCCTGCGCAACTTGGATTTATCGAGAAAATTATATTCACTGTACACACAGCGCCGGTGAGAAACTCCTGGACGCTACTTTTGGCGACGCGCGATTATGAAGTGGAAACTCCCTTATTAAATGGAAACCCGAAAGTAATAAGCCGGCTAATTTAATACGCGGGAATTTCGTGATTAACTGGCTGGAGTATATTAGTTTAAAGATCGAGTTACCGTGGGCCGGTCGCGAAACATTTAAAAGGTCTGCCCCCGCCGGCCGTGACAGCGAATTTTTATTCAAGGCCTGTGTCGGAAATGTGTTTTAAACTTTGTGAACGAGCTATCGTGAATGTGAGTAACGTGTAATATACATGTTTTTGAATATAAATATTTATTTAGAGAGCGGGAAAATTTATTTTGTTTCTGTTATGTGAAACCGAATGCTCGGAATGTCTTTACAAGATATCGAAAAGTGCCGTGAAGAGTTTGAAAAGTGTTGAGAATTAGGAAAATCATGTCGACCGAGAAATAAATTTCTGGTTTCCGCATGAACTTGTCATTTCCCTCTCGCACTCGTCGTCGCATGATTTTACGACCGCTAGACCAGTGGTAGTCATTTCCTCGTCGCCATAATTTTTTCATCCGGCGGGCACATCTTTCCACGCACGATAGTATATTTCCTCGTGGATACTTCGCAGACGGCACTCCATAATGAATCGTCATGGTGAATTACCGTAGAAGCTGCAGCTCGCGGGTACTCCGGGAAATTAAATATGTAATGGCGTTCGTTTATTTACGCGGCGCGTTGAAAATTTCACCGTAATCAGTACGCGCCCACGATAAAAAGCGTCTATCCGATATTCATTCTGACTTTCCCTTTCGCCCTCCACCACTCGTTCCATCCAGGTTGCTTAAATTTCCGTAAAAATAAATTAACACGCGGCCCAAAACGTTTCTCCCGAGGAGAGATCTAAAGAGAGGAAAAACTTATAAACACGTAATTTCGCTTAAGGGGAATTCCCCCGGGAGCGGTTTGTAATAACTGGCACGTACATCATGACACAAATTTAATTAAACACTACGTCGGTATTCATTTCGCGCTTCTAATTTATGTATGAATAACTACGGTGTGTATATACGTGTATATAGGAGGGTGGGGGGGAGACGAGATTTCATGACGTTCCGGCTTCCGGTATGTATTTATCTATGTTTATTAACGGCTTAACAATAGCTGACACCGTTGTGAACGTTTCAATGGCGCGTTGCAGCTGTTCACTCCCCTTTTGTACCTCGCGTTTCGTTTAATAATCGTGAACACTGCTTCGCGGTGGATTAGCAGCTATCTTTCCTAATATTAACAAAGCTGATCACTGGGTTATGGTCCTTTGTGCAATCGTAGGTCTTCGTGGGCTGCTTTGTAGAAGTTAGAATCAAACAGATTGGGTAAACAGTTTCATTTATAAAGAATATCACTGTGTTCCAATTACATGTAAAACAAATTCTAAAAGTGTATTTGATTTTCTTGAATATTGTATAGAAATTTAAATGTATGTGAGTATTTTAAATGTCTAAACAAATTGACTTTTTTGCAGCAGATTTATGGAAACTAACGTTACATGCAATTTAATATTTTGTTAAATCATTTCGGTAAATTAAAAATTAAACGGAACAGTGTACGAGGTTTTGGTTCGCGGGGGCTGTAAAAAAATGTGTAACAGATGAAATAATGGATCACTTTGAAAAAGATACACCTCGGTTTTATTTTATTTGTTAACGTTACAATAGTAACGGTTGCGTATATTTCATGGCGCGATAAAGTTGTTTGTGTTTTATGTTACGAGTGCGACGTACACCGTTTTCCCAGATTGATTGACGTTAATTGTATGACCTGCTTGTGCGTTCGTGCTATGGGCATCGAATATTTTCAACCGAAACGTCATGTGCATAGATTAATATACAGAGTGTCACCAAACCGGCGGTACAGTCCAAATAGGTGTTATTCAACGCAAATGATTCGACCACAGTTTTGCAATAAATCATTTTCTTGTTATCATAAATTTTATTGACCAATTATATCAACGATGGAAATACGCAAAATTGAAATTTTATAAAATTCTAATTTCTAGAAATTTTTTGTATCGCGACGTATATGAGAGCTTGTTCTACGTTGCGCACACTTCGGTTGTTTAAACCTCATATAAACGAAGTTTATTTCCAATCAAACACTAAAACAGAACTCACCATAGTGAGAGAGATGTTCCTCTTGAAAAAGAAAAGTGGAACGAGAGAACATTACTTTCCTTGAATATTTCCAGTGTTACGTTTTTATGACGTTACCCGATATGGTAGTATACCACTTTCATTATTAAAAGACCCCGAGCGTTATATATTGTCATGCGCAAGCGATGATGTTTATGTGTACGTCAGCCAGGTTACATGAACCACTTACAGAATGTAGGTGTCATTATTTTGATGAAGAAGCAGTCTTCTTGATTCTAGCATTCGTGTTAGCATGCGTGGGCACGAAACAAGTTGATCAACCATACTTATTCTAGGTCTCTCCACGCCACTTTTACATATTATATTAAAATTAATTAAATTTTTTGTTATCTTTAATTCATAGGAGCTTACATTTATAATTATCTGGTATTGTTCTTTCTATTCGAGAAAGATTTAGAACTTTTGATGAATTTCAACGGTACGAAAATATTACGTAACAAAAGCCACAAACAAAAAATAAAATAGTAATAAAATAGGGATAAAATAAAATAATATCTTCCTAAAATAAAATAGAAGCTTCACTAATCATTATTAATTTCTCCTAACGTCGTATTTGCATTAAAGTTCACAGTCTATTTATAATAGGCGAGCATGACAAGGATTCACAGTTTTATTGCCGATCTTGGTGACATTATTCCTCCCTGATTTTAACCCCTCCAATATGGGGAGACTCTGTTCCTGACGCGGCTGAGGGAAAAACTAGAAAAATGGATCAAGTGTATGGAGCAGGTTGAGAAATAGCAACAGGCTGCGCTTAAACTTACGCCCCTGTATCCGAATCGACAAACGGTTTCGTGTTTTCAGCAGACCGGAACGGAATCAGCTAATTTTTGTGCCGAGTTCGCGAGTTTCGGTTGTTGTTCCTCCGTTCCTGCTGCGATCTTACCATTTTATGCACGCCACCGGTTGTATTTTGTAACTTGACTGCACGGCCGATGGTTTTGCAGACACCGCGCGCACAATAGAGCGTCTGTTTCGCGTTGATAAAACGTGCTCGCAAAAATCAGAATATTTTTCAGGAGATAGACTCCCTACCTATTCCTTTTTTTCTGTTTCATTCTTCGTGGAGATAAATGCTGCCTTCATACAGAGAAAAATTCGGCATTATTGTATTATTTCGTTACAAAAGCGCTGACTGGGGATATTTATCATCCGCAATGGACAGTATTACATTTCATTTGATGCAGTGCACACGAAGGTCCATGGAAACTCATTTTTAATATCTCTGTACTTGCTTTGGCATGTTTCCTGTTTCATGGCATTTCAGTTTTTCTCTTCAGTTATGCGTTTAAACTTTAGCTTCTCGTGGTAACATCGTCTCAAGGTAAATTTTATGTAACGAGAGAACATTTCTTCTAATTATTATCACTCATTGTTTTGTCTCAAACAATTTTTTTTTATTCATATCCATAACAACTCTTACTATCTCAGCGAATGTATCTCTTACTATCTTATACGCTACTTATAAATTTCAAACGACCAAAGTACGAAATAATAATTTCATTCCTCTGAGTCTATTTATATTTAACACCGGCTTAAACGACGCACAGAATTCATTGGAACTAATTGACTCGTTTACGAGCTACAACAATCTTTCTCGTCATTTCCTTCGTGTACTAGTACTTTCGCCGGTGTTGTATAACTCACCGTCTGCCGCGCTGGGTGAGGCATGGCTGTACAAGAAAAGAGGATGCGGCATACTGCAGTCCAATTTTTCTCTCGCTCTCGTACGACTCTAACTTGTTGGTCTGAATACTTGATGGATGCGTCAGAATGGAGAACCGATCAGTTTTTCCTCGTAGTGGAGGTCGAAGGTTTGATGAATGAAGACCGATTCGGTGGTAGTCTCTCGTCTGTACCTTAGAACGGCGTAAAATTTCCATCGTGCCCCGTTAGAAACGATCCCCGCCGTATGCCCGCCATTGCTATTCATCCTGTTTTCATTCTTGCCAGGTTTTATGGTCCATAACTTAGTGTCTTCTCGGAAGATATTTCCCCGATCTTTTTCCCGCGTTTTGCTTCTCCGACTCTCTAACGGGGGCAAACGATCTGTTCGATATATTATCCTTTGATTCGGATTTCACAGAGCATGCAAACGACGGAAGGAAATGACGTCCCTCGATGGAAATAAGTTTGTTTACCTGTGTCGTTTCCTGTCCTCTCGGAAATTCCTCTGGTCAGCGTTTCCGAATAGGATATCTACGTGTATGGAATAAGGATGCGGGCGTCTTACAAATCGTCTTTTCATGTTGATTTAGTGATGCTGCAGCTTAAAGAACCGTTGTGACGGATATTCCGAATTTTCAACGCTTTCGGCT